GTCAAGTCGACCGCTCATCACTACTTCTTCGAGGTTAGACTAGATATTTATTGGGTACCCATTATTTTTATACTCACGCTGCACTTCTGCACCGATGTGCCAGTACTAAGACAGGTACTACCAATGGCCATACGGGCGCATAGACGATCATCTACGGAGACTTAGTTGTGAGCTGCTTGCCTTGCTACGATCTGCAGCACCAGAGTCTCCCTCTACCTTATTTACTATTTCTGTCTATCACTTTCAGACAGTAGTTGTAGTAGTTTTGTATATTCTCTAGATTGCTCATGTACTTGTGATGCCAGTTTTTGGGAGATTTTTAGTATTTTTGTACTGCTGCATTTATCATTTTCATCACTACAGTGGATGTACTTTTTATGCTGGTATTTTGTTAATAAAAGAGCATGTACAGTTGCACGAGATCTTACTCACTTTGTTCTATTAAAGGGAGCCTTTTGTTTTAAATGTTAAAAGGGGAATAAATAAAGAGTAGTTTCGCTTATAGGCTTTCCTAACGGCGGCGTTAGGTGCCATTGCGAACTATTAGGGATTTTGTGTCGTGGCAACTTGAATATTATGAAATGTCATACTAATGTGGTGGTTATATATGGTAAATGATTTACATTGAAAATCTTTGGTTGTCATTAAACACTAAACCCAAAAGAAGTAATGAATATCAATGGATTGGAGGCTAAGGGTAGAGTTCCACTCAAGATCAAATCCTCCTTTGAATCCCTTGACACTTCAAAGTTCCCAAGGGTCTCTTGGGCCCAGGGCAATGCTTGTTCCAGGGAGAGCAGCCCAACCAAGAGTTAAACCCTATTCCCAAATACCCCTAACCATTAATGACTCATTTTTCCCCACTTGTTTAAGTGCTAAAGAGGTACTTTCAATATAAACAAACCTCCATAGCAATACCATACCACATAAGTCTACACATCTCTTATGAGGACCAAACAGAATATCATAAGGGCGCAAGACAGTTTTCTCTATATTTTTATAATTATATTTCCAAGACTAAGTTGATGATTAACACATTAAACAGGTCTAAAGTCTAAGTCTTAAACACACATAGAGGCAGAGATATTATCATGCTACCACCAAAGAACCAAACACCTGAGATAAAGTATCTTAAGGATAGAGAAAGAGCACACAGTTCATATCTTCAACAGTTTATAAATACCGATGTATTTACCATGACAGCCCTTAATTAGACTAAGCACTAATTGGTTTAACTCAAGTCTTGCCTTTAGCACACACAAGTTAACAACATTACGGGAAGCTTATGAAAGCATCAACAAGGATTCAAACAAAAGAGTCAAAGTCAGGACATCTACAGATGTTTGTTAGGGATAACAAAATACAATCAAATTTCCAACAAGACTACAGGTTTACAGATTTAAATAGAACTCCTAAGAGTGCTCAACATAATCTCATGCCACTAGTCTTATCTATGTTTGATATTAATGACATGATTACCTCTCTCTAAGAATGTTAAATTCATACTAAGAATAAGCAGATCGTTACATCTAAGCAGTAGCAAAAGGAGGTTTTCCTTAGAGGTCAAAAACTAGATTGAATTCATTTTAAAGGAGAAAGAACTTGATGTTGTTTCAAGACAATGCAAGTGTGCATGAAATCATGAAGGACAAACCAATCGAAGCATTGAAGAACTAGAATGAGTGTAGGATCACAAAAAGGAACATATACAAAGGCACTAAGAGATTATAAACTAGGTCTTGACTTATATTAGATGTTGTGTTGTTAGCTTCATGTAGGAATCTCTTAAAGAGCATTAGTAGAGTTGCTTGAGCCGATTAACATGCCAGTATTACCCTAAGCATATGACATGACTACATTTTCAAAGAGCTTTAGGTCTTATATTCATGTTGTCTTTATTTGAAAGTCAAAGTACATTGCAATATTCAAGCAAAGCATATAATCTCAAAGTCTTTCATTAGTTCTGATAGTGGGTTGCAGTAGACTCAAATAAACTCAGTAGGTTTTAATAACACTGGACGCACAAGCATGGACGCAAAGGACAAATAGAGGTGGATACAAAATACTCATTCAAGTACATACATAAGATGCTCCAGCCAAGGTTTTACAAACAGGATTGGGTTTCAATCATTATAAAGTCAAGTCAATAGTATCATTACAGAAGTTTAGGACAAGGAATACCTTAAACTAAGCAGATCTAATTCATCTTTATAGATTAAGGGTGAATATCTAAACATGATGAAGTTCTACTCAATCTACTTACATAATAGTTATTGTCCAGTCACAACAGGAACAATTGAAGCTTAATTCATAAGAGATAACTTGATTATGACAGAATGCATACAAGAACAGTTCCAGGAGCTCATTAGAGATAACCTAATTACCTTAAGATATCCTTTTATGCAATGAGGCTATCAGATGTAATCAACAATTATGTAAAGATATAAAGGTTTTCACATTAATGCCTCAAGGCTACTTCAAGATTAACAAACACTCATGTGAAGAAAGAAGGCATCTTAAACACTTAAACTTGACATACTTCAACTAAAAGATAAAGGATTAAACCTTGACCGTTCATATCTATCTTAGTGAAAATCATCAAATAACAACCTCAACTACAGAATAACAGACTACACTAAATAGGATTAGTGTGATAGACATGAAGACCACAACAGAACATTAAAGAAAGCTGAAGTCTGAACAAGTATGGGAAGCTATTAAGGCATATTAAGTAACTCAATTGTATAGGCTGTTTGATTCAAAATAGTAGTCATCAAGGTCACATAATAGCTCAATCAATACTGATTCAAGACAACATAAAAAGCATAACAATCAGTCGTAAATCAATAACAAATCATTATGAGCTGGAACAAACAGTTATAAACTAATAACAAACATCATAAACAAAAATTGTCAATAGAAAGACAACAGTGTATCCATAATATTGAATGAGACAATCAAATGAGAAGAGATCGAAGTATACTGACCTCCTTTTGTGCAACAGACCAAACAAAGGTTTAACTTAGCCATGTAGGAACCAAAGTTTCAAGCTTTGAAACAGTGATAGAACTCGGAAACAAAAGAGAAACAGAAATCAGGAAGAGAGAGCCTGAACTTTGAAATCTTAGTGTGGTTTTCTTTGGTGCTCATATTAGGTTTCTTAGCTCTTTTTTATGTCTTTTAGGTGAGTGCATTCAAAGCAAAAAATAGTGACTGTGAAATCCTACGGCTTCAGAGATTCAAATCAATTATTGGAGAGTGACAGTGGATGGATGATAGCAAAGGAGGTGAAATTAGAGTGAATCATGAGAAAACGAGTGAGAATCTTACCATGAGTGCGTGACAGCCGCAACAAGTGAAGAACCCATCGGACAAAGACCGGAGGTCCAGAGGTCATTGCATTGACCTGTGGTTTAGAATAATCATCATAAGGAGCTCATGCATGCTCTAATTTTTCGCAACGTCAGAAAATTTGAAGGTTGAAGTTTCATGTTTGTGTTTGGGTAAGGAACTCGAGACTTGGAATTTCTATGATGAAATGAGGAGATATGTGCGAGATTCACGGAGTCAGAAGGTATAGGTAATAGTTTGGGGTCATGATTCATAACCTTGCACGATTTGGTGCAAGGTTTCTGGGATTGATGGTCAGAGGCTTGAGAGAAAATGAGAGAGGAAAGGGAAAGGGGCGGCAGGGATGGAGTGAAAATGAGTTTAGGGTTTTGAGTGAGACCAATCGGTCTCTAGGTTAAAGTGGAAGGATTTGATCTGGGCCGTTGATCTTTTAGATCAAAGGTCCTGATATTTAGGAAGTTAATAATTTTGATATGGAATTTAAGTGTCCGTTGGATCTTTGTCATCCAACCGTGAGGATTATATCTTCTGGGTATTTTAAAATTAAGAGAAAAATGGGAGTTAAAACGAAGACGTTGATTAAACAGATGGACGGTCTGGATTAAATGTGTTTGTTTTGTGATTGTGGGAGACGGATGACGTGGCGAGCTGCGATTGGTTTAGGGAGAGAGGATTGGATCACCAAGGTAGAGTAGGGAGGGAGTTTGGACTGGGTCATATTTTTTTGGGCTTGTCATTTGGACTGTTATTTATTTAAAGAATTGCTCTTTTGTATTTAATAGAGAATTACAATTATAGCCTTTAGCCATTTTCATCCTTTTGAAATTAAATTATATAAACTTAAATATTTTAAATACAATGTAGTAAAAATTATAATTATACTACTAATTATTGTAATTAATTGTTTATAAAATATTTTGTTTTCTAAATTGTAACACTAATTTTGAATTATTAACATAGTGATCTAATTAATTGGAAATTAAGGAGTAATTCATTAAATTGATTATAAAACATATGCAATGTATATAAAAATCATTTTAATAATCTAAAAATGATATATTTAATTATAATTACCATAATACTAATAATAAATTATTAAATAAAACTACTAGTACTTAATTTTGTGAAAATTGATATTATTGATTGAAAATATTTCAAAACATTCATTGCAAATTATTAAGTATAAAAAACTAATTTAAAAATAGAGGGTCAAAATTGGCCGTCAACATTCACAGTAAAGGGAGCGAGGCCATGATGAGGGATTAGAGACCTCGTCGTTTTGATAGTTTCAGTGGTATATCATCGGGAGGTATGGGCCAGTTTGTTAGAGACCATCGTGGTAGGCCAACTTATTCTATTCAGCGTGTAGCCCCTGGTGAAGTGGCTTGACCATCTTTCAACACTCCAATTTCGTCATCTATTACTCCTCTTCCAGGGAGTTTGTACCGTGCTCCATCTGTTCAAGGATCTTCCGGTGGGTATTCGGGACATCGGGGGTAGATTCATGTTTTTCCTTGCTTGATTTTCAAATTTTCTTATAAGTTGGTATTCCATGTGTTTTGCGACAAGATTTTATTGCAATTGGAAAAGATCTTCAGTTTTGCTCAGTATCGGCAGAACTTAGATTATCCTAGGGGAAAGGTAAAAAATCAATTAAGCTTTTAGCAGTATTCTTTACTATTTCAACTATGCATAATGAGTTCTCGTTACATATTTGGCCCCTCAATTGATTTAAAAAACACCAAAAAGACGAGAAAAGGACAGGGCCATCAAAAATTCAAGTGACCAAAAAGAATGGTGTTCCTTCCAGATATCAAACAAGGAAGATTCAATGGTAACATAACGGATCTTCCAGTATTTCTCAGTATTAAAAGAAATTCGCATTGGCCTGTTGGCTCCTTCAGAATATAGTATGTCCCATCTTTTCAATTAGTCTATCGATATTACTCGATTTATCTAACCGATTCTACAGCAAAGCAATTTCCATCTCTTTATCTTCGACTATATGAAATAGTTCCTCTGATCCTACCAAAGCCCCGGACCCTATTGGCTGGAATGACAAGTCAGCATCTACGCCAGCATGGGAACAAGTTTTATGATCCAACTATTCGTCTTCTTTATTCTCTGTTATTGGCTGGGACAAAAGCAGCTGTTCCAACATGTCCTCATCGTCAGGCAAATCTGGCAAAGTAAGAGGGACACTATTTTCAAAAGAAAGCAGTTTTTCATCCATTAACCCTGAAAAAAAATCTATATTGGAAAACAGATCCTTTATTTCATCACACGAAAGATCGAGCTCCATAGGTTTCTTAGTATCCACAGCTGTTTCAAGTTCAGCACATAGGGGCTCTGCAGCTTCATGAGTGGGAGGATGATACCTCACAATTGCTCGATCAGGTGGCATATCTTCAGAATAATCTTCAACTTCACTCAGTATATTATTACCATTTTCAGTCACGCGCCAATTGTTTTCCTTGGGCTGGAAGAACTGAACCAAAAAGTTTGGGCTTTGCATAGCCATCACAATGAAGGAAAGCATCTGCTGCTGATGTTTCTCCATACCTTTTAGCTGTTCTCTAAGAAGTATCAATTTGCTCTCTGAATTCTGCTGGTGTTGCCTGAGCTTAACTAACTCCTGTGTGAGCACATTCTTATCGGTCTTGAGATTCTCAACTTCTTCCCACAGTTCAAGATTCTTATTTTCTTCAGATTTACTGGACTTGATCTCCTCATGCTGGGATGATTTCTTTTGGACTACACTGGACTGTTTCCTTCTAACAATATTCTTTAATAAATGCTTTTGGCCTTTGAGAAAGCTATCATTCGCAAACTCCCATCTATCTGTATCTGTCTTATGGAAACCCTGAAAAATAAAAAAACTTAACAATTAGTAAATTGTCAAATAAATTAACCCAAACCAATAAACAAAATGGTGCCCTATCCTTATTAGCTAGCCATATCTTAACTTGCTAATTCAGAAAAATTAACATGTATATTAACAACAGATTGCCAATACGATTAAAGCATACAGTTATGTACATACATGAAAATCCGCTATGCATATTCGGACTAACACAAGTGACACATGGACAAAAACTTTGGAAACAGCGGCCTTTTCAAGCGGTCAACAATAATGATAATTTTGACGAAAGAAGATAGGAGCCGGGCTTGACAAACTGCCAATTGCAGTATGCAGATTTTAATATGTAAACAATTGGAGTATGAGATGACATACTAACTGATGTTTAGTTGGCATCGACATAGAATTTTACCATTTTCATTTGCCCAATAATGAGAGGCATCATGAAGCACCCCATACCAAACATTGGCGACCCAGCAATAGATAATACAGATAACCCCACAAAATACTCTGTCCTATAAATTACGTGCTTCCTGGTTGTAAAGGAGTAGAATACTTGAAATGCCAATATTCAAAAAGTCCAAAAATCTTCCTAGACAATGAAAACTAAAGTCCACATCCTCAACAGAAAAATCAAATAAAGTTCATTGCCAGTGCAGATGAAGATCAAATAATAGATTGGTACTGCTTTTCCGTTATGTCAATACCATAGAAAGGACCTGCCTGTTGCTGACAGATTATGCTATACATATGAGAAAAAAAATTATATTCTTGAGCTTTTAAATATTGTGCTATTCAAATACACCACAAGTGCAGGCCAGACGAAAAATCCATCCTTTTTAACCAAGGGGGCAAGTGAAGCTAGTACTATCCCGTAGCCTTTCTCATGTGAATACCTCAGTTATAAATTAAAGCTCGAGGAAGAAAGAAAGAAAGAAGGTAAGAAAGCATACAGTTGTAAGAATGATAGATGGAGAAAGTGTGATCTGCTGGTGAATATTTTACAAAAGGATGTAGATTGTTTGGTTTAAAATTAAACTAGAAAATTGTACAGTTATATAGCTTGATAAGAAAAATAGAGACTTTGAGCTCCGAAATATACATCTATGAAGAACAAGGATATTTAGGATATATACATACCAAGGAGAAATTTGATTACAATAATTTATTGTTTTTTCATCATTCCCCAGAACATACTCTTATCTTAAGAGGGAGAGAATTTAAGGATGCAAACTTAGGAAGCAACTGCAATCTCAATAAGTCCTAGGAAACAAAGATAAGTGATTGCATATAAGGTGCCCGGGAGGAAAAACTTACAACCAATTGATTGAGGCATAAAAATCTTACAGGGAGAATTTGTGCACATATCTTGTTTATGAGATAGAACGGTATGAAATCGCATGAATGATATGACTAAAAACAGAAAACACAAGTTTCAGATGTGCACAATCATAGAAGAATGTCTACATGCCATGAATGATATCATTCTTGCATTTCACCCATATCTAAGTAAAAACCATTTGGAATTCAGTCTCCTTAAAACTACAAATAAACTTGTTTTCTTTATAATGGACAGACAGTTTCCTCCTTTGTGAAATAGTCTACTACCAAATCACACAAACCCAAACATTTACCACATTTTCTCCCTCTTTGTTGGGACTACAACTTCATCAAATTACCCAACAAGAAAAAAATTTCTCTTCAAAAATAAAAACTTTCAATAAGAATTGCTAAATCATTGCATCATCTCTTTGGAGCAAATTAAATGGCAATTATAGACATTATGTATATGAGCAAAAATGATCATTCTTGCATTTCACCAATATCTAAGTACAAACCATTTGGAATTTAGTCTCCTTAAAACGACAAATAAACTTGTTTTCTTTATAATTGACAGACAGTCTCCTCCTTTGTTAAATAGCCTGCTACCAAATCACACAAACCCAAACATTTACCACATTTTCTCCCTCTTTGTTAAGAATACAACTTCATCAAATTACCCAATAAGAAACAAATTTCTCTTCATAAAATAAAAACTTAAAGAATTGGTAAATCACTGCATCATCTCTTTGGAGCAAATTAAATGGGAATTATAGACATTATGTATATGAGCATAAGTCTTTACTCCCCAACCTAACCCTAAGACCTCCTTAACCCCCCCCCCCCCCCCCAAACACCCTAAAAAAAAAAAAACACAAACAGAAATTAAAGAGATAAGGAAAAAAGATAAACAAGTGACAAAGAAAGACATTTGAATGCTTGTTACCTCAAAAATGGGTTTATAACGTCACAAACACACCCAGAGAAATGGTCTAAACACCAAAATTAATGATGTGAAATAGCTATAATCCAAAAATCCAATATTCCAGATTCTTATATAAATCATTGTCACAACAAACATAATCTTGCATCACTATTCTTGCCTTCCTAGTTAAGTAATTTAGGCTAAATGCTGAGTTCATCACTAACCTAACTCAGAAGTCAGAACCATCTAAATCCAACACAATTCAACAACTTGAAAAGCAGAAGTAGAAAAGATAATTAAAAAGAGGGTTTACATAGATGTTGAGTTGGCGAACGAAGCTAGAGAAGTTGCTGTGCTTGAAGTATTTAGGAAGCAATTGAGATGAGAATTTAGGAACATCCCATATGATGAAATTGTTATCAGATTGATGCCAGGAAATCAAGCTGTCCGTTGACTCATCGTCCACCATCTCATAACACTTCAACAAGAATGGCGCCACATTCTCAAATGATTTCACCATAATTCATTCACCAAATACCGGAATTCAACACAATTACCCTTTTATATAAAAATAACACCCTACTCCCATATCACATACAAAAACCGGCCTTGTAAAGGAGGGTTGAACAATTACTGGAGAAAAATTGTAAGGGAAGAGGGAGAACCTGAACCAAAACGGGTGTTGTATGTTGATATTATTATTGACTGCTAAGGTGGGTTTTGAGTTTATGGGCGGTGGAGAAATATCTCATATGGGGGAGGATGGTGGGGCCAACATAAAATGAAGTGCTATTTTTTTTTTTTTTTGGGAGAAATTAAAAAATGGCCAGATTTACAAGTGGTCGTTCAAAAATAGCCAAGTTCCAAAAGTAATTAAAATTTAGCTACATTTCATTTAAAGATAAATTTGAACAAAAACACTGTTCAAAATTCGGAAAAATGCTCCAGCATAATATACTGGAGTCCAGTATATTATACTGGAATAGTCTAATATACTGGAGTTCCAGTATAATATACCGGTCTAGCTTAATATACTGGAGTTTGGAGCACCGGTGCTCTAGTCTCCAGTATATTATACTAGAGCCAGCAAAGTATACCGGTCCAGCATAATATGCTGGAAGTTCATACACAGGTGCACTGAACTCCAGTATATTATGCTGGACCGGTCTCTGTTGCAGTAAAATAGTGGTTATTTTTCATTGACTTGGTAAACGCTAGCTATTTTTGAATGACCAGCCCGAAAACTGGCTAGACCGTGCTATTTTTACATTTTTTTATATACCAAAAGGGCCAAAAATATCCGGAACCAAAATAACGGAAAAAATTTCACATAAGAACAATTGAGCTCCCTACTTTTTAATTTTATAACCCATATTTTAATTTACAACCAACTAGCCCAAAAATAATACGCTAAGATTCAACATCCAACTCCAATAGGTTCTAGAAATTACTATTTAAGTTTTAAAAAAGATTGCTCAAGCTTTTAAGTTAATTTTCGAATCAGTAACTGTGACTCAAATATTAGTTCAACAAACTAAATCCATTTGGATGGTGAAAATTAAATTTTTAACAAGCTTAAACATGTGGGTTTAAATTTCGAATAGCTTAAACATGTGGGTGTTATTTAGACTTGTTAGAAATAGTATAAGGAGGTTGTATATAAAATTTGAAGTGATTTAATGGAGATTTGGACTGGTTTTGAACAAGAATTGCAACTGAAAATCGTGGAAGAAGTTCGTCTACAGACGCTTGTATAAAGGTGTATAAAAGTGTATAATAGTGTATAAAATGTGTTTATACACTCATATACACTATTATACAAGATTATACATAATTATACAAAAAGCTGACTTCGTCTTCTTCCTTGCGTCTTTTCTAAAATTTAACTCAAATGTTGCTCAAATCTACTCCAAATCACTTCAAATTTAAATTTTGAACTCATTTTGATATTTTCAATCAATTGGAACAACACCCAATCCAAATAACTAACAAACTCAAAAAATCCTATTTTCGAAAGTACAGCTTTGAATGACCTTCAATGGTGGGACTTCTGCTCTTCAATTTTCTTATATTGCAACCAGGTGACACATGGTAAGAAGCAGCAATGGCGGACGGCCCTTTGAAGCATATGTAGAAGATGTGAGCAGAAGAGAGAGTGAAAGCAATGGTTGTGAGAACACATATTTAACTCCATAGCTTTTAGAAGTATTGGTTGTAATAACACAAGTTTTGAATTTGCTAGTGCTTTCAAAATATGTACAATATGGGCTAGGTTGGGTAAAACTTAAAAATATGAGCCATTTTTTGTTATGGTGTGAAGTCATGTGTATTTTCTTGTAATTCAATCAAAATAACGACTAATTAAACTTTTTTTAAACGACCAAATTATGGGAAAATATGGGGAATATGACATCTTTATATCTATATGACAATATGCATATCGTATGTCATGCAACACAATGAAACCCTCACGTGCTCACGCTCTCAGAGTACTCAACCTGATTGTCTCAATTCTCACTTATCATACTCAGTCACTCAGTACTGTACGGTACCCGCTGCGGCGTGCAGCCTGATCCTATCATGAATCAATAGAACCTGCATCACTGCTGGTATGTCAGACTTCGGAGGGGAAGATCCTGCCCAAGCACTAATAAATCATGCTGCGGCGTGCAGCCCGATCCCATCATGAATCAATAATGCTTGTTGCGGTGTGCAGCCCGATTCCATCATGAGTCAATAGTACCTGTTACAGTGTGCAGCCTGATTCCAACATGAGTCAATAGTATCTGTTGCGGCGTGCAGCCCGATCCCATCATTATCACTCACAAACAGGCCCTCGGATGTTGACTTATGTGTAAACGGTTCTGAAATATAGTTTTGATGGTTTTGATAGCTCCGTATGGTGATTTTTGACTTAGGAGTGTGTCCGGGTAGTGATTTGGAGGTCCGTATGTGATTTTGGCTTGAAATGATGAAAGTTGGAAAATCTAAAATTTGCAGAGTTGAGAGGTTTGTCGAGAGTTGAATTTGTGGTTACCAGACTAGGATTTTGGTTCCAGAAGTTGGAATAGGTCCGTTGTGTCATTTATAACTTGTGTGCAAAATTTGAGGTCAATTGGAGTTGATTTGTTAGGTTTAGGCATCGAATGTAGAAGTTAGAAGTTTATAAGTTCATGCTTGAATTGGGGTGCGATTCGTATTTTTGATATTATTTGATATGACTTGAGGCCTCGACTAAGTTTGTATCATATTTTACGACTTGATGGTATGTTCGGTTGAGGTCTTAGGGGCCTCGGGTAGATTTCGGATGGTTATCGCAGTGGAAATTGACTTGGAAGATTGTTGAAGCCTGCTGAAGTTTGCTGATCTGGTTTCCTTCAATGCGATCGCGAGGTTAGGCCCGTGATCACGAAGGGTCTTTGTGGGCTATTGGGTTTTTCCTCTTCGCCTTCGCATAGAGGGAGTCGCAATCACGGAGGTAGTGAAGCTTGTGCTTCGCGAACGCATAAGTGGATCGCGTTCGCGTACAAGGAAGTGAGGCAGTTGGGGTCACGCGAAGTTATTCTTTGCGATCGCGTGAAGTTGTTCGCGATCACGCAGGTCTGAGGAGTCATTGCATCATGTTTGCGTGGGAGCTTCTGCGTTTGTGTAAGAGGATTTTCTGGACAACTGAGTTTTTGTGCTTCGCAAACACGAGGCATTTTCTGCGTTCGCGAAGAAAGGATATCTAGGAAGAATAAAAATATCAACAATGAGGGTATGAGTTTACTTCACAATTTGATTTTGGGAGCTCGGGTTGAGGCGATTCTTGGAGAGATTTTCAAGGGAGTGATTGGGGTAAGTGATTATAACTCGATTTTGGTTAAATTACATGAATATATCATTGATTTCATCATTTAATTTGTGATTTGGGTTGAAAACTGGGGAGAAATTGTAGAAATTTCCTAGGCTTTAATTTGAGGATTTGAAGGTCGAGTTGTGATCGGATTTGAGCAATTTTTGTATGGTTGGACTCGTGGTTAAATTGGTGTTCAGATTTTGTTAAATTTGTTGGATTCCGAGCTGTGGGCCCATGGTTGACTTTTTGACCTTTGAGTAAGAACTTGCCTTTTTCATATGGAATTGATTCCTATAGCTCGCGTTGTTTGTATCGAATTGTTTCTGTCTATTTTCAAGGCGTTCGGAGGTCGATTCACAAGGCAAAGGCTTATTGGAGTAGAGATTCGCACGGTTTGAGGTAAGTAACACTTCTAAGCTTGTTTCTGAGGGTATGAATCCCTGAATTTCGTGTTATGTGATCAGTGTTGAGGTGACGCACATGGTGGGTGACAGTGTGTGGGCGTGCACCGTAGTAATTATGACTTAGTCAATTTCGTGGGACTGTGTAGTCAGCTTATCTGAATAATATCACTGTACTCTATGTCTTAGAGCACTTGAGCTGTGAATTATATTAGAAATCATGTTTAGACTATCAACTAGTACTATTGGGACCCACAGTAGTCGTTCTCTTTTTGTTTAGATTATTGGATTAGTTTGCACTTACGTACTCAGTCACATTCATCATTACATTTCATAGCTCAGTCTCTGTATCATTTATTGTTACATCATGTATCATTGATTTGTGCTGCTTAGCATGAGTGTGGTGAGCCTTATTCCTATATGTGGATTGGGTTGCACACCGTAACAAGCCTTATGGATATATATAGATCGCGTTGCACGCCACAACAAGCCTTATTTCTATATGTGGATTGGGTTGCGTGCCACAACAGGCCTTATAGCTAAATGTGGATTGGGCTGCATGCTGTAGCAGGTATACTACAGTGCTGAGTCACTGAGCGTGACGAGAGAGAATTAAGACAGTCAGATTGAGTGCTCTGAGAGTGTGAGTACGTGAGGTTTTCATTGTTTTGCATCACATACGATATTCATATTGGCATATAGATATAGAGATGTCATATTCCTCATATCATTCACACTTGGCATATTTAATCTATGTTGAACTTAACCGTTAAACCTAGAAGCATGTCTACATTTTCTGTATTTTTAAACTCTGTAATTGTACTATATTGTTTGAGCTCGTCATTGCTTTCATCCCAAAGGTTAGACTTGTTACTTACCGAGTTGGTTGTACTCACGCTACACTCTGCACTTAGTGTGCAGATCCAGGTATTTCCGGGCACGGTGGTTGCTGATCTTGGAGTTTTACCCGTTCGGAGATCATCGAGGTAGCTGTTTTGGCGTCCGCAAACCTTGACTCTCCTCCTCTATCTCTTCATTTTACTTATGTTCTTCTACTTTTCTAGACGCTGTTTAGACTATGTTATTGTATAGATGCTCAAGTACTCAGTGATACCCGAATTTTGAAAAAGATTGCATTCGAGTGGCAGTTGTTTATATTGGCTATTTATGAGAGTTATTACTGTTAAACTTGCTTCGTCTTATTTTTAATGCCAAATGCCTAGTTTTATTGGGAATGCCGGCTAGCCAAGTTCTGTGATAGGCGCCATCATGGTAGGTCGAGTTTTGGGTCATGAGAAGTTAGTATCAGAGCCTAGGTTACATAGGTCTCACGAGTCATGCTCAGGTTTAGTACAGTCTTGCGGATCGGTACGGAGACGTCTGTACTTATCTCCGAGAGGCTGTCGAACCCTGGGGAAAACATCACTTTCTTGTATTCTTGTCATGCGAATTTGTTTATTCCCGGAATTAAACTTCTGTTATTCTA